TACATACACAGAAACACTTTACCACGACTTGGCCCCCCCTAAAAAAGCATGTGCTGTATCCAGTACTCCTCCACGTCTTCGCCCTCCTCTTCCTTGGTCATGTAAGCAAAGCGCTCGGCTCTCCTCTGGCTGCTGCTGAGCTGTCGTGCTTCGTGGTGCAGGCGGAACCTCTCCAACCACTGCAGCTGCACATGAGACATGTGCTCCAGCGGAGTCAACTGTGTGTAGTGGAAACCACAAGGGATTCCCAAAGACCAACAAATCCTTTCGTGTATCCGAGGTAGGTCCACGTAGCGACCATGCTTGCCCTTGAAAACCTTCCCGAGACACCACATCAAATGATAGGTACTCGACAGAGGCGAAGGTGTGGAGGCGCTCGGAAACAGAATTCCCTGGTCCTCTGCATCTTCTCCTGCGGGCTCCTGCGCAGGCATCTCTTCGGAGATCTCAGGGTCTGCTCCATCCAGAAGCATCTCGTCGAGACAAGACACATCGCACCACTCGCGTAAGCCCACCACGTCACGCAGAAAAGGTAAACTCAAGCCAGCCAAGAGTCGTTCCTGCGCATTCACCTTGCGCACCTGCATGCAAGCTTTCCATTGTTTCCAGGTCTTGGAGAAACAGGCTCGCAGGAAACCTTTCCCTTCCAACTTTTCAATCTCATGACAATGAAAACATTGCCAAGCTTCTCCACAATGCTGTGCACCCGGGCAACGTGGAAAGGGCAACGACAAACCCAGCATAAACGCAGCGTATTTCTCAGGTTCATTCTGCCCCGGAAGGCGCAAATCCACAGGCACCACAACATTGTCGTCTGCTGTTCGCAACTCCTGTCACAGGGCGCGCAGATGTCCGAGCGATGGATCCGTGCGCAGAAATAGATCCACAGGAAAGCGACCACAGCCCAACTATATATGAATTATGTTTGTCAATAATGAAGCACCTAAACGCGTCAGCAACGAACAAGGAAAAAAACAGAAGCAACAATCCTGCACTGACAAGGGACAATGTGCGTAGTGTTCGTCAAAGGGAAAAGGGAATATTTTCACGCCATCAACACAGTTTTTGAACATGAAACACAATCAACGCAGTTTTTGAACATGAAACAGCAAAACACGTCAGCAACCAAAAAAAGAAAAAGACAGAAGCAACAGTCCTGCACTGACAATTGGAAATGTGCATAGTGTTCATCAAAGGGAAAAAATTTGACGTAATCAACGCGACCAGCTTGGCTACGAGGAACTCGTCGCACATAACGAGAATACATAACCAAAGACATAGACGTCATAACGGCTGAAGCACCACGATGCAAGTAATCATCCTTCTGATTGTGCGACACAACCCTCGTGCCACCTGTCGGGATCCCACTTTCCGTCAAATCTTCCTCGTCGAATACCTCAGCAACCTCTTGCACAGGGATTGCGTCAGTCTCTTCAGCCTCCACAGGCTCCAGGGGCAGAACTTTCAAATGAGGCGCGCTGGCGGCGGCTGCGTCCAAGGCCACTGCGCGACAACGAAACATGGCATAGGGCACAAACCGAAAGAACATGTTGTAGCCACTGTAGCTGACCAGTTGCTCCTGCTGAAACAAAAGTTGGTAGGCCATCTCCCCATTGGACTTCGCAACACATCTCTGCATGCCAAAAGCAAGACGTCGCAATAAACTCAAAGCACGCAACCTGGCCACTTCTGCAGGCAACGGCGCAGCCTCGGGCACCGGTGCCGCCTCCGCCACTGCGGCGTCATGGCCGCTCGGCATGTCTCCTGACCGCCGGTATTAATATTCCTAGACCCCAAAAAAAGCACGGCGGTAAATTCGCTCAGACAACTTCTACTTTTTCCTTGGAACTGTGTTGCCAAGGGACAAAACAATCCAACAGTCAACTAACGTCCTGCATCTGACACAGCTGCCTGACGCTGTGCCTCTTCAGCTTCAAGACGCTGAACGCCGGCAAAGAGTTCCGGTAGCAGAGATCGAGACACTTCGAACTTCTTGCTCGCGTACTCCCCAGTATAAAATTGCACATCCTGCATGTCCCGAAACATATCCACAACAACTCTGTGCAACCGCGCGTCCAAGCTCTTGTCCTTCTTTTTGCGCTCCCCGTCTGGTGGCTGTGCGTCTCCGCCCTGTCCGTCTCCATCCTCTTCATTGGCAGCCAGTTTCTGCAAATCGGCATCGCAAAAACCACGTCCCAAGTATTTCACGTCGACGTTGCACCGCATGCTGACTTGAGCTATGGGATTCGACATGCCTTCGAAGGGATGGTCCCGTTGAGGTTGAAAGACATGGGGGTTCTCATTCTTCATGGCCTCCTCTTCCTCCAATGGAACATTTTCACGTGGTAGAATCATAAACTGCGCACGCTGAACTCGAGGCCATCCCTTCAAACAACGCGCGCGTACCTTCTCCAGTCCAGAGTCTTCAGTTTCTTTGTGTAGTTCGACGTGGAAGCAGCCAAATCGACATCCCCGCTTGCCTTTCGCAGCGTTCCTGAGTCAACGTTGCATGGCCGTGTCACACACAACTCTTAAGTTCAGAGATAACATGCTCGGTGACCGGTGCAGATAACGTGCTCGGTGACCGGTGTATATCAAAAACAAAACTATTATCCCTGTCCGACACCGAACTAATACTAACGACATCGGATCCGCATAACCACGTCCAGGCTACAATGCTGATGTCGTGAAACGAAAACGGCGACACTCGAACCTTGCGCCGATTGCGTAGAACGACGTCCTCCGCGCCGGGTTCGTGTCCCGTCCAAATTTCGTTCTGTTACTGCAGTGGTGATTCCGTTCGTAGCGTCTGAACAAAGTGTCCGAGGTCTATCACAAAAAAACAATCTGCACCCGCCGAGGGTCTTCTTGAAACAAGACTTCGTGCACTTGTGGAAGTGATTCTGTATGACGAGGCGACGATAGTCGCGACAGAGGGCGCCCGACCAACTGGCCGCGTTGAAAGCAGCGGCCTTGCTCCTCCTGACATAATACGGACGTAGTGAAGCGAAGCATCCGGTCAGTCGGAGAGGTGTACTGGACTCCGTCGCCGCTTCGTGGCCGTCTGGCTCCGTTGACCTCAGTGGCACGTCGCTGTATTGCCTTCCACATGCAGCACGCTGATTTTCGCTCAGCGGTAGTGGACACACTTCTTGTTCTAACTGCTGACTGAGAGCTTGCTGTAGCGAATACGGCTGGCTGCTTGTAGGACGGCGCGACTCCAGCGTTCCAACTCAATGACCAGTTCCCCACGCGCTGCGGTGGCCAACACAGAGCGAAGGCGATTGCCCAGGTCGTGCCCCAAAAGCACAACCAGAATATGTGGGTGCATGGAACCGCGTCCTTGCGTCTCAAGAGGGCCACAAAAGGCTGCCACATCTCCAAAGCAACCAGCATGAGTGGAAGCAGCAAAACCATCTTCGAAGCCCCTGGCAAGACCGCCTCGGAAGCTGGCGCGGGTAAGCGGCGGCAACGTGCCCAATATCTCCTCAAAGAACAAGGTCATCATCACGTCAAAAAACCTTGCTTGAGAGACTGGGTCGGCAGCTCCTAGCTGCCGACGCATTGCGCTCAGCGAGGGCAGTGCTGGTGCCTCGAGGTCCCAGGCCAGGTCGACCTCATAGGCCTCGACTCGCGAGCCCCCCTGCAGATGCAATTGCAAGAGCAGAGAAGCTCGCGAGTCCGCCAAGTTCGGTGTCACAAAAATGTGACTTGGGCCGTAATGCCACCCAGCTGCGTGGCCTCGCAGACGGATCTGAGATCGGTGACCTTCTGTGCCCAAAACGTTGGAACTGGCCTGTAGGACGCTACCCAGTGCGCGCTTGAGCGGCACGTCCACGTCCGGGGAGCGGAGCAACTCGCGGATGTCCGCTTTCTCCCCGTGCAGCGCCATGGCCTTCAGGAGGTGCTCGGAGGTCACGGAGGCTATGACCGAGCAGTGGCGGCCGAAGCCACTCCTCTTGACATAGGCCTTGGAGGTCCGCATCAACGTCAAACGACGTTGGACATCATACATCGTCGGGAGCAACTGCTCCTTGGGTGAGCGACGCGTCGGTGCGACCAAAAAACTTATAAATATCTATTCCTAAACGATAGTAACTGCCACAGACCCCAAAACTATACGATGTCCGAACCAACAAACAACTCAGCCACAACAGACATTAACCAGAAATCTGGTCCCAAAAAAAGATGACGCAACCACTCGTCGTCCCGAGCGGCCGACAAACTCCATCGAGGTAGTGCAGGGGCCTCATCTTCAACACCTCCCTCACCGCTGTACTGGAGCTCTTCGCGTAGGAGCAAATAACGAAACACTTCAGAAGCTTCCATGCTCGTCTCCCTCTTCAAGAAAGGCACCCCGTCACCCCAAGGGAACAACGTAGGAAAAGCCATTGCCCAGGTCCCTGGCTCAAACATGCTCAGAGGGGTATCTCGAGAAGGCACCACCAACTTCTGTGGCCTGACCTCAAACATTTGCCCTTGCGCTTGTCGCTCTGTCTCCACCCCATGCGCGGCCACAGTCTGGACCTGGCGGATGCGACGAAGGACTCCACGTTCGTGCGCGCCTTCTCGACCCAGTAGATTTGCTCCTTCCATCTGCGCAGCACCCACACCCAGGTCATTGTTGGCCCGATTGCGCACGACCAACTCTGCATCAGTGTCATACTGTCGAGGCTTTCGACGACACAGATCCTCCACATCTCGGCAAACCCGCAACCAACGATTCTCATCGTCCGAGGTGTCATTCAGGCCGACTATGCTGGAAATCAGATGACCTGACCAAGCAGGAGTGCGCCAAGAAGTTAGCCAAGCAACGAGAGATCACTATCTGTATATGTCTATCTATATAGAATCAGTAGTTTCAAAGGTGAGACGACGACCTACCAACCCACAGACCAAACGCAACTGTCCTGAGTCTTCGTGCGCTCGCTCGCCGGACTCCGCAGTGTCCTCCGCCATGCCAGCGTCGTCCTCCTCCTGCTGGCTGCTCTCTTGGCCTTGAGCGTCCGCCGGTCCCCGTTGTAAGAGCTCTCTCGCCAAATAGCTGTCTGCGTCCGTCTCAAGGACACAGCCTTCGACTGAGATCGACCGCTGCCTCCGCGTAGTACTTGGAAGTTTGTCGGAGGCGCTCGACAGCGGCAACGTATTCCTCTCGAGGTGCCTGCATCGTGGCCGACGATCGCAGGTCGCCTCTGTTGTGGCCCACCAAGACGAACAAGATGTGCTCGGCCATGTCCTCTGCGCGGGGTGGCAACACTGCTTCGACTGAGGAAGGACTAGCTTGCGGCAAAAAGATGGTGTTCCCGATGAAGCCCTTCTGCCGTTCGGCGTGGGGAAGCACCACCGGCTGCAGGACGGTGACCTGCATGCACACACGCACCAGGGGCAAGAGCCGCTTCGTCCCCGCGGAGAGGGAACGAAGCTCTGGCAAGGCTCTGCCAAGCCACAGGTCATTCGCCAGGGCATGGCGGCAAGGTCAGAACCTGGGCTGTCAGGCTGGTGCGGCAGTCCCGGCAAACAGGGGACGGCTGTCGTGCGTCTTCCGGCATGCGCCGCCGGTGCAAGAGCACATATTCACCTGGGAGGAAAGGATGTTCAACGGCAGACTTCTGCAACTCACCCGGCCGATCGCACTCTCGCCTGCATTTCGCGCCCTCGACACGCACGATCTCCGCAGAGGGTTGCGCGCGCGCCGGACAAATCGCACTCTCGCCTGCATTTCGCGCACTCGACACGCACGATCTCCGCAGAGGGTTGCACTTTCGGTTGA